ATAAATTGTGTATTCGTCTAGTTTACATAAAATAAATGTTGTTGCTTTGTTTAAAAATTAAACCAACCAGGAATTGTAGATTTATATACGGCAACATTGCAATAGATAACAGCTTCAAAACGAAAGTCGTGGCTTCTTATCACAACACAATTATTTTTTTATTTTATTCTGGTTGAATGTTTTCATGTTAACTAGGGATTGCAAAATAAACTGAATGAATTTAACTTGTATATAGTAAAAATGATAAGAAGTTTTTGCTTTTAATCCCCCTTGAAACGTACAAACAAAACAAGCACGTTATCTTTTGGTTGGTTGTTAGATTAAAACTGAATGGTTTTTCGGTTTTCGGTTTTAACTAGATTATTGTTACGGGTGTTTTTATTTGAAAATTTGGTTTGAAGTTTTTGACTTTGAGGCTCAATTGCTCAAAAAATATTTTAGATATCAAATTCAATCTAGCATAGATTTATAGAGAATTTAATGCTCTTTTTATTAGTGTATAATTTCTTTTGATTTGTTCAAATTTTAATAGAAATATTGGCATTTTTTCTTAACCTTGTCATGATTCAGAAAAAGATCAGAACCAAAAAATTAAATTTGTAAGAAAATTCCGTCTGTCTGTGCAACTTTTGAGAATCTTGATGGCATCGATGAAGGCTTTAATGTCCGTGTCTGAAGAAACGTCAAAACGCGAGTTACACTTCACAAAATTACCACTCTGAGCTACAGCAGGAGAATTTTGAACATGTTGTGCATTACCAATGGCGAGACGATCCATAAGTTTGCGTTTCTCTATCGGTTCTCGTTTAATTCTTCCCATGTACTCAACTTCCCTAAGAATTATCTTACAAATTGGCGCCCAACGTAGGGCCACGGTGAGTTTCAAGACTGGTAAAGTGACTATTGTGTGCCGATCCCCTGTATAAATGTCAACCTGCTATACGTCCTGTCAACTACAAGATGTCAACGTTCATAGTACCTACAACAACGCAAATTTCATTTCGTTTTTTTTGTTAATACAAGATCAATATACAGTAATCAGTTTTCTTTATCGGTTCTTGTTTAATTCTTACAGTGTACTCAACTTTCCTAAGAATTATCTTACAAATTGGCGCCCAACGTGGGGCCACGGTGAATTTCAAGACTGGTAGAGTGACTATTGTGTGCCGATCCCCACGCCACCGGCGGTTACGACTTCACGGCGAATGCACCCCTATATAATGTCAACCTGCTATACGGCCTATCAACTACGAGATATCAACGTTCATAGTACAATAACGCAAATTTCATTTCGTTTTCTTTGTTAATACAAGACCAATATACAGTAATCTTTTTTCTCTATCGGTTCCCGTTTTATTCTTCTCGTGTACTCAACTTCCCTAAGAATTATCTGACAAATTGGCGCCCAACGTAGGGCCACGGTGAGTTTCAAGACTGGTAAAGTGACTATTGTGTGCCAATCCCCACGCCATCGGTCGGTTACGACTTAACAGCGAACGGTCCCCTGTATAATGTCAACCTGCTATACGGCCTATCAACTACGAGATGTCAACGTTCATAGTACAATAACGCAAATTTCATTTCGTTTTCTTTGTTAATACAAGATCAATATACAGTAATTAGTTTTCTCTATCTGTTCTTGTTTAATTCTTCTCGTGCACTCAACTTCCCTAAAAATTATCTCATAAATTGGCGCCCAACGTGGGGCCACGATGAGTTTTAAGACTGGTAGAGTGACTATTGTGTGCCGATCCCCACGCCACCGGTCAGTTACGACTTAACGGCGATCGCTCCCCTGTATAATGTCAACCTGCTATACGTCCTGTCAACCATAGAAAAATGATTTATAAATTCTTAATACGCCAGTCAACCATAGAAAAGTGATTTATAAATTCAGATACGCCAGATCATCTATGAATAGATTATAGACTAATTTATTAATTAAGTGATTCTCATATAAATATATGAAAATAAAATTTTAGTTTATGAAATTTTGGAGCACTGCCTTATTTTGAAATAATGGAAATGTCAAACCAGTCATTTAAAACCGAGATTCAAACGGCCCGCCAAATATTAGTTCAATGACTACACCGCTATGGCAGCACCATCGAAAATGTCACTGAGCGACTACAACAGAAGTGAGTGTTGTAAATATAGAATATAAATCACTTTTCTATGCTGTCAACTACGAGATGTCAAAGTTCATAGTACAATAACGCAAATTTCATTTCGTTTTCTTTGTTAATACAAGACCAATATACAGTAATCAGTTTTCCCTATCGGTTCCCGTTTAATTCTTCCCGTGTATTCAACTTCCCTAAGAATTATCTTACAAATTGGCGCCCAACGTGAGGCCACGGTGATTTTCAAGACTGGTAGAGTGACTATTGTGTGCCGATCGGGATTGTCGTGTGGTTGTTCGACAAAACCCATGGTGTTTTTCGCGCTCGTTTGGTACGGGAGTCATCACCGAGAAATAGCCGAATTGTAAGCAACTGTGACGCCTTAGGTACTGCGTAAATTTTATTTCATTTTCTTTGTTAATACAAGACCAATATACAGTAATCAGTTTTCTGTATCGGTTCTCGTTTAATTTTTTCCATGTAGGGGAGAGCGCCCACCAGTGGCCAGGATCGGTACAGTGGCCACAGGTAATATTTGGCATTTACAGCGTTTGAACGGGTGCGCCATCTGGCCCAAAAGTAATAAAATGAAACGCCTAGCGCCGTCCTAAATGGAAAGTTCGCCTCAGTATAATTTGCAGGTGCCACAAGAAGAAAGTTGTTTTTTTATTGATAATTCTTTTTTGTGTGAATATTCGGCCATTGAAAATTAGTTTTTTGGTAAGTTTTCTAAGTAATTTTACGTTGTCTACTTTTAAATATGCTATTTGAGACGAGATTCAAAGATTTAGAACATGAAATTTATGCACGGTTTTTTTAAGGGTTAAGTTTGATTTTCTAGTGGTAAATTTCCAACAGTGGCCATATCTCGAGAAATCAACAGTGGCCACTACTTATTGGAATAGATAGCGGTGGCCACTGTGAAGCTGAGATGTCCGAGACGATTTATTGTATCTCTTAGCGTCTTTAGCGATATGGTAACGTATCTTCCCACATAGGAGGAATTGCAAGAACTCAAAGCCTCCATTATTTTGCAGTCGATTTATCTTCATTTAGTTTAAACCTATATTAGCTCAATATTTAACCTATATCCACTTAAAATTGATTAACATCATCTTGTTAATTTTGTATTTTTGAAATAAATTTGTTTTAAATGATATTTGTGATTATTTATAACGATAATTATAACAAATTGTAATGTTGAAATCTGTGGCCACTGTAAGAATACCGTGGTGGCCACTGTACCAATCCAGGTTCGTACAGAGGCCACTTTAACAAATTTTTAAAAAAATTATGTAAAAGCAAAACAGAAAGTTTTTTCACTAATTGAACTAATAAATATTTTATTTTACGACGTAACGAAATATGTAGACTGAAAAAAAAATCTTATTTTCTTTACCAGATAGAAAATATCTGAGAAATAAAAAAAGGGTGACCACAGTTGGGCGCTCTCCCCTACTCCCCTATTCCCTAAGAATTATTTTACAAATTGGCGCCCAACGTGAGGCCACGGTGATTTTCAAGACTGGTAGAGTGACTATTGTGTGCCGATCGGGATTGTCGTGTGGTTGTTCGACAAAACCCATGGTGTTTTTCGCGCTCGTTTGGTACGGGAGTCATCACCGAGAAATAGCCGAATTGTAAGCAACTGTGACGCCTTAGGTACTGCGTAAATTTTATTTCATTTTCTTTGTTAATACAAGACCAATATACAGTAATCAGTTTTCTCTATCGGTTCTCGTTTAATTCTTTCCGTGTATTCAACTTTCCTAAGAATTATCTTACAAATTGGCGCCCAACGTGGGGCCACAGCGAGTTTCAAGACTGGTAGAGTGATTATTGTGCGCCAATCGCGATTCTCCTGTAGTTGTTCGACGAAACCCATGGTGTTTTTCGCGCTCGTTTGGTACGGAAGTCATCACCGAGGAATAGCCGAGTTGTAAGCAACTGTGACGCGTTAGGTACTGCGCAAATTTTATTTTGTTTGCTTTGTTAATACAAAACCAATATACAGTAAGCAGTTTTCTCTATAGGTTTTCGTTTAATTCTTCCGGTATATTCAACTTCCCTAAGAACTATCTTACAAATTGGCGCCCAACGTGGAGCCACGGTGAGTTTCAAGACTGGTAGAATGATTATTGTGTGCCGCTCGCGAATGTCGTATAGTTATTCGACGAAACCCATGGTGTTTTTCGCGCTCGTTTGGTACGGGAGTCATTTAACGAAAAATAGCCGAATTGTAAACACTTAACTTTTCTAAGAATTTTCTTACAAATTTTCTTTTGGATTTTTTTTCTCTTCAAACTGGTCATTTGAAAATGATGTTAGGAGTTTTTTTCGACTAATAAAAACCCGCTTTATTGAGTCAAAATTTGAAAAATACAACACCCTGTACATTTTTATTTGTAACACCCTGTTTATTTTTATTTGCATATTAAGTAACTGCTAAGCAGATTTCGTATTTCAAAGACCAAACATCAATTTCGAAAATAAAGATGTTTTTCACGAATTTCTATCAACGAAAACAAACAAAGCACTAATGGAATATTCGGCGGACCTTTTAATTATATATCAACCGGATGAACTTAAAATTTGGTAAATTTCCGATAATACTTACGTAAATATAATATTGAAAATTTTCCTGAATTTTAAATATAGCCTCAGTAAAGAGTTTTACTCAGACAATGACTTGGCAGGTGAAAAATCCTCATTCCAGTGAATATTATTTTTTGAAATGAAAGAATGGATATGTAGCATATGAAAGCTCCACAACCCCAATACAAAGCAAAAATCCAAAGCCATTCTCAATTTAATTTAAAAAAAAAAAGAGACAACTTGACGTATTGTTATTTACAGAAAGAAGCAAACAGTTTGTACCTGCAATGCCTAATTTTCTCAATCCTCTGTAACTTTTGTAATGTTTTTCCTCTCTTTCCACTTGCAACGGACGTCCTGTATTTCCTGTAGATAATAGAAAAAATATAGCTGAATTTTGTATAGTTATGACAAGGTTATGACTATATAAAACTGTGAAATTTCAATTAAAGTCAATGTACGTATTCAATTACTAGAAAATTTACGACATTCTCGGACAGAATATACGTAGGACACACCACACAGATCTCTTTTTTTTTTCAGTGAATCATGTTGAATGACGTCAATGCACCAGGAGTATAATGGCCAAGGAAAATTACCGTCAGGGCACAAGGTTATCACAGGGAAATTACTTTGCGCTTGTGGCTTTTTATTGGGTTTCGTATATACAAAATGAAATTTTCGTGGAAATTGTTTGCTGCTTGTTAGGAGGAAAATACATTTTGATACGGTGTCAAAGAGAGAATGTTATAACAACCCATTATTCTATTATTGGTTTAACAGCTTGATAAACTACAAGTGAAACACTTATATTATATGCAATGGAAGTTATCAGGTTTAACGTCATTCTTAAGCTCAATTTGAAAATTATTATTTATTTGTTCAGTTTCACACCTACAAGAAAATATTGCCAAAAACTTTGTCCTTTGATTTTTATGTCAATGTCGCTATTACATTGAAATGCCAATAGTAATACATAATAAATACAATTTTTTAATGACCTTCCTTGTTCTCAAAATCAATTGTAATATTTCCCATTATTACAGCTATAGACGAATTTCTGATTAATTGCACCTTGACACACGAAATTTCCATCAAACCATATAACAATATAGCGGATGTATTTTTGCAAAATTGACCTTCCAATATTAATCAATAAGACTTAAAAATTGCCAGTTCAAACAAATTCAATTAAACCGGTGATTCTTCGTTCCCCTTTCAAATTAAATTTAATCAAATCAAAGTCATTAGGATAGGTCTGTTTGCCTCAAATGACTATTGAAATAAATTTTAAATTGGCTCGCTTCATGCCATCAATAACGTATGGTCAAAAGGTGTTTTTTTTTTTTTAAATTAAATTAGATTATTAAATCGAAAGTTGACATTATTATACGCTTTATACTGACCATCGAAATCGGTTTTTTTGATGGTCGGTCCAATGACTTTTTGGGTTTCGAGGCAGACGTGCAATTTTGTCGGTCAGTGAACGAAAAACCGATGAAATATGATGCATTGGGGTCGTACAAGAATGGCCAACCTATATGGGTGCATCTACCTATATAAAATTGTTAGCAGAACTGTCAGGTACTTAAGTTCTTGTAGTACAGTGGTTGAATTGTACTTATATTTGGTAATTGAACTATTTCCAAGAATTCATTGTATTTGATTTCATCTATTATAAGAACTTGATGTAGGTACATTGGAAAGTACTTCAAGCACATGAAAGTACCTACTTGAAAAACATCATTATAAAAGTACTTCAAGTACAATAAAAGTTTTGCAAGTACTTCAAAAGTGTACTTGGAGCTCGACTTGAAATACTTTACATTTTTGAATATTTAAAATAACACAGACATAAGAGGCTGCTTGTTGGATTGTTGGTTGATTTTTGAAAAAATATTTAATGAAAAAGTTGTCAGGTTTTATATTTTATGAGAAAGATCCATTATAATGTATTTGAAGTACCTACAAGTTCTTGGAATACTTCAATTGTAGTTTAAGTAAAGATTTCTGAAAAATTCCATGGTACTTAATAGTTGGAGTACATTTAAGAAAAAAATGTACTTTGTACTTCAACTACTTCTACAAAACTTTGAGTACTTTGTACTTGCACTCCAAGTACTTAAGTAATGTACTTCTGACAATGTTAATTTTTCAAAAATTGAAACGAATTGAAAAATTCTGAGACGCACCTACCTATACGATTCAATATCGCGACATTGATTTGCAGGATTATATTTGTGTGTGTCGGTAACCTTCAAAGCCCAAGCCAAATATTATTGCGAAATGTGCGCACTTTTTTTTTCAAATGATAATTTTATTTTGAATCGTTGAATAACATTGTTTTTGCATAATGTGCATCATAATGTTTGCAGTTGATTACATTTTGCACGAATAAGTTCTATTCTAAGGTCATGTTTCCTTTGTAATTTGATTTTTTTGACCTCACAAATAAGTTACTCACTCATGATATCAAATTTTGATATCAGCTGTCAAGATGAAGATAACGACAAGGACCACAAATGAATGTATTATAGATTACATTCCAGTTATTACTAGTAATACAATAAAAGAAGAGATAACAGAAAAATATCCAGAGGAAGTTCAAGATGTTGAAGTATTTGACAAAGGAATTATTAAGAGATAGATTTCAAAACAAAAAATGTAAAGGCAACAAAGACGAAACCAGTTAAAGAAGTTAACAAAACAAGCTATTGAACTTAAGGCTGTTTAAAAGGACAGTAATAGAACAGCAAAATGAACTATCAATAAGTGGATAGGATATAATGAAGAAACTTCTCCAAAACAAGTCCGAACAATTATTGTAAAAGTACCAAAAGAAGGAGTTTTTAAATTAATAGGTACTTGAATAACCTACATAAGTAGGATATAAACGAATTTAAAAATCTAAGAAATTGAAGATTAAACTTCAACCGAAATATATTGTAGAAAAATTGGCTTTTGGAACCCTAAAATAATTGTAATTGATCAAGGAATTGTATTGAAGAAGAAGAAATAAAAACCAAAATTCACTGTCCATGCTGTGTAGAAGAAGTTGTTGAAGAAATTCCTGATAAAACAATTCTGAAAAAATTCACGGGGCAAAACCTTTTTTTGAGAAAACACAATTTTTTTTATGTCATAGATAGAAAACTGAAATTTTCAGCGATTCTTACTCTAGTAAAGGACTACAATCCCTGAAAATTTCAGCTCATTTGGACTTATAGTTCCTGAAATAACATCGCGTTAAGCAATTTGGGAAGAATCTATCAATTTTTCTGAGTGCCTTTTATCATAGATTTCGGCTTCAAATCTCAGAATAATTTAGTGTATGAAGTTTGGTGGTTTCCCAATGATCATTTAGACACAAAATCTCAACATAAAAAAATTTGAAATTTCATCATTTTAATACTAAGGTAGCTACCCTATGATTTAAATTTCTGAAAAATTCGAAAGATCATAACTTTTTCTCTATTAGAGATAGATAGATGAAATTTTCAGCGATTCTTATCCCAGAAGAGGACTACAATTCCTGGAAATTTCAGCGCATTTGGGGTGATTTATCAATTTTTCAATTTTTCTGAGTACCTTTTTTTTATACATTTCGGCTTCAAATTTTAGAATAATTTAGTGTATGGAGTCTCTTTTAAGTTACCTCAAACGTGGTAACGTTACACTGTATATTTTGGCAACGTTGCGTAAAACTTTACCATTGTGACAGTGTTGTCAAAGGCTTTTAAATTACAGAAAAAAAATCCCAAACAATGTTAATAGAACATTTTACAAAGTTTCCAATAATTGTAAAAAAATTATTTAGAACCCAAAAAAATTGAGCTAAGAAAATTAAAAAAAAAAAAACAATAGTTTGATGACGTTGCGTGAAACTTCAACACATTAAGACAGTGTTGTCAAATCTTTTAAATTACACCAATAAAATTAATGAAAACCTATAGAACATTTTACAAAGTTGCCACATTGTGAATGAAAAGTTCAATACGACTTTGAAACATAAATTCCAAAGTTGCCATATCCTCAGGGAATAAAATATTTCAAAAAAATATAGGTAGGTATACCATAGAGCTATGATAAGCTCATTTTCTTTCCTCTATTCTGCTCAATTTAAGTTAGTTTCCTAGAATTTCTCAGGTAGTTGTTTTTCATTGAATCAATTTGAAATTTTAGTATGATGAGCTCCTTTTTTTCTTTTTTTCACCCCAAAAATTTCGTAATATTCCCATTTCTAGTTTTCCAAAAAAAAAAAAATCAAAATGTGGAAAGGTGTTTTTTGCTCAATTTCCCATTTAAAATTAGATTTTCTAAAATTTCTCTAATATTTTTTCAACCTTTTTTTTTTAAATTCTTGTTCGATTTTTCTTTTTCCTTTGCTTTTATTCTGCACTTTTTTCCAAATTCTCTTTTCTCAGATTTTTCTTCCATTTAACTGCAATTTTTCTCTGTTTCTTGTTAATTTTTCTCTCCACTCTTTCCGCTTTCCTTATGTTACTTTTTGCAAGCTTTCTTTGGCTTTTCTTAAACTCTATCCATCAAATTTTTATAATTCCAATTAAAACAAAAACAGTGGCTATATTTTGAAAAGCTTCAAGTTTCTGCGATTTCAGAAGAATTTTATGATTTTCCAAGGATTAAAAGTGAAAAAAAAAGTCATAAATTCCATCAACTTTTGATTTGAGTTTGAATTTAAATGATTTCAAATTATGAATTTTGAAATTTTTAAGTTGAAATTTGATTGATCAATCGAATCAAGAGCTGGTCAGTGGCGGCTCGTCAGGGGAGGCAGTGCAAAATGTTACAAAATGTATTTCTATATTATAATTTTAACCCCCCAAAAAAAATTTACCCACGACGCTCATTTTTTTTTTTTTTGGGCTGCCTCCGTTGAAATAAAAGTCACGGGCCGCCACTGGAGCTGGTAATAATCAAATTTTGAACTATTACCGGCTCTCGGAAAAATTATTCAGCGCCTCAAGAGCCGATAACAAAATTTGGATCAAAAATTAATTTTGAAACACTAGAGAATATTTCTAATAAGTCAAGAGCCTGTAGGTAGTTTTTGAAGGAATGAAATATGACAATCTTACATAAATGGGATAATTTCTCAAAAAATATAAAAGCCACAAATATGAAATTTTCTGGTATTCTTCATAAGACATTAGAGCACCATTTACCAAAAATTTAAAGCAATTGAACAAAGGACACAAAAGTTACAAAGTGATTTATACAAATATATAGTTTTTGAAGAAATGATATATGACAATCTCATATAAAGGGGGTAATTTCTCAAAAACTATAAAAGCCACAAATATGAAATTTTCTAGAATCCTTTATAAGGTAGGTATTAGAGCAGGACATACCAAAAATTCAAATTAATTGAACAAAGAACACAAAAGATACCTACAAAGTGATTTACACAAATACATAGTTTTTGAAAGAATGAAATACCTATGAGAATTTCATACATCTGTCAAAACTGGTATTCCTACAATGAATTGACATGTTTTGATTGTTGATTTGAACCAATCAGATTGTAATTACGCGATAATTTGCACTAGTGCAAATTATCAGATAATTGGTGCGAAAACTGGTGTTTTGACATTTTTTGACAAAAAATTTAAATTTTTGATTTATGAAATTCTCTCATTCTGAGTGCCTTTTTTCATAGATTTTGGCTTCAAATCTGAGAATAATTTAGCGTAAGGAGTTTGGGGATCTCAGATGATCATTTAGACACAAAATCTCAACATAAAATATTTGAAATTTCATCATTTCAGTAACTACTGAGCTAGATACCCTATGATTTAGAATTCTGAAAACTTTGAAAGATCAAAACTTTTTTTCTATTACAGATAGAAAGCTGAAATTTTCAGCGATTCTTATCTCAGTCAGTGGCGGCTCCTGACTGTTTCAAGTGAGGAGGCTAATTACAGTATAGGATTTCATGAAATTCCTCGGAATTCCATTAAGATTTCAATTTCAAAATTCCATATATTTTTTTTAACTTTACTAAAATTCCTCAAAATTTTACCACTGAAATATCCTGAAATTCCATAAAATTTTCATAAAATTCTTTGGAATTTCATTGACATTTCATGTAATTTCTTAAAAATTCCTCGGAATTCACTAAAATTTTATGAGAATATCCACGTTCATAACCGAAAATTTCTCGAAAGTCCAATGAAACTTCAAGGAATTTTCAAAATTTAATTTATTTTCATAAGAATTTTTCGGAATTTCACTGAAATTTTCTTTTAATAACCAGGAATTTCTGGGAATATTAATGAAGTTTCAAGTAATTTCTTAAAAATTCATCGAAATATATTGAAATTTCATGTTGTTACATGGTAATTTTTCGGAATATCACCGAAATTCCATGTTTTTAGCTGGAAATTCCTCGGCATTACTAAAATTCAGTAAAAACTGAAATTTTATGTTGGGACTTTCGGTGTAATTTCATGTACCTAATTGTTTAAAATTCCTCCATGTAATTCATTTAGGATTTTGTGTAATTCGATCGGAATTTCACTGAAATTTCCAGTAATTCGAGAGGAATTAAAATTAAGGCCCAGTTGTACAATCTTGGTTCAAAACAGAGTTTAGCTGAACTCGGCTGGTACTTGAACTTCCCCATTTGAAATGCATTGCTGTGAAAAATGATAGAATTTGATTAATAGCTGACAGGAATGTATTTTAAATGGGAAAGCTCAAGCACCAGTCGAGTTCAGTTGAACTTTGTTTTGAACCGAGATTGTACAACTGGGCCTAAATGTGAATTCTATGGAAACTTGGCAAAAATTTCATATCTAATTCCTTTTTCAGAATAACATAATTATTCTACCGGAATTCCACTAAATTATGGAATTCTGAGATTTTAATAGATTTTTGGGGATTCCAAAGGATATTTGGGAATTTTAAAGGAAATATTTTTCAGAAATGTCAATGACTGGGTTTAAAATAACCTATAAATGGACATTTGATAAAAACATATGGCAACGCTGCTCATGATACAACAAACGTCAAAAAATTGAAATATCAAAGTAGGCCTTGGTTTTTTTTGACAGTCGATATAAAATGGCGTCTTTTTGTTTCAAAGATTACGATCCAAAGAGCCGAAGTATTAAAATCAGTTGACAATGAACGGGTTCGTATTATTTCGGGCCCTTCGGGCTCGTATAACCTCAGACCTTCGGGCTCATGATTAAAATAACTCCGGCTTGTCGGGTTCGTATAACTCCGGCCCTTCGGGTTCGCATGATTCCGGCCCTTCGGACTCGTATAACCTCGGCCCTTTGAGCTCATAATTGAGATAACTTCAGCCTTCCAGAATCGAGATTCGAAAAAAAAACATATGGCAACCCTGCTTATAATACAACAAACGTCAAAAAATTGGCCCTGTTTGACTACTTTTTACGTATTCGCCGAGGCTAAATCTATATGCCCATAAAGGTTTTTTTTTTTCAATTTTGACTGTCAATGTCAAAAATTTTTACCTTTCCTTTTTTTAAAAAAACAAATGTCAGAAAACGATCCCCAGGCTCCGAAAACCCTAAAATAAGAAGTTTCATCGATATATGTCAAAAACCAACCGCCTGGCAACGTCAAACGTCGTTTTTGACATATATTTAAAAAAAA